AGGTCAAGAAAAATCGTAGGAAAATTTTAAAGAAAGCATTTTGTAGGTAAAATGTCGTAGATTGTGGAACTTGTATCAAATTTGTCGAGAGAAATTTTTTTATCGAACTACAGTGTGTCAAAAATACGTAATTTTAAGGAACAAAACAATGTATTCTTTTTTAAAGCACAGAACGAGGAAGATGAATATATCGAAATATATCATTGACAGAGTTTTAAAGTTGAAACTTCAAGCTTTAAAATGCTTTTTTAATTTTGTGTCTACGATTATTTTTCGCCGAGTTTCAGTGGTTTGAAAATAGCCCAATTTTTAGGGTATGAAAAGTGTTCCCTTTTTTTTTTTTTGAGTAGTGTATGAATTCAAACGAATTCGTTCTTTGCTTTGCCAGGGAGATAGTGAGATATCGAAAAGGTAAGTTCTCTGTATTAAAAAATCAAAAAGTGTCCAATACAAAATCTTGTACCATAAAGTTAGATTGTGATTACTTTTTACAGGACAATAATAAGTAATACCAAAAAGAAAAACACATACCATAACTAAATGATTCTTTAAAATCTTCATAGTTTGAATGGTTAACAGGTGTTTCCCATATGTAACGATGAGTATCATTTTCAATAGGGTCATGAAGAACGTGATAATTCTTCGCAAATTGATAGCTAAAAGTCTTCTCTCCTGTAGGAATCGCACTTATGTTAATTCCACCGATAGGGATCGGAGATTGCCTAGCTCTCTTACCATACACAGGACAATCGGAAGTCATATTCTTTTGCTGAAAGAAGATATAAGATATAAAAATAATAATAATAAATAATAAAGAAATCTCTGTCTTTTAGTATATGTTAAAATGCTGTACTAGAATATCTCTATTATTCTTGAGCAATTTGAGCAATAGCATATTAATTAGTCTCACTTCAAAATACAAAAGGTCAAATAACAGAGAAATAATGCGGGAACACGTGCTTGGGATCACATATTCGATCGTCCTTTCAACTTATAACCCTAATTATTTTAAGTCTAACAATGCTATTAAATGCTCTTTTTACAAAATAATAGTTACGCAAGTGAAATAACGCATAAAAATGATATAATCACTTAATTGGCATTTCATTGCAATGTGTTAAATAATTGATGTAAGACTAATTTTCTGATTGTATGTTAATTTGGAGACGAACTTATCCCAGGGACAATCAGATTATTATCTCTCGACGCGTTTACCTGCCAAAGTAAAGCTACAGAGATTGCCGTATAGACAAGGATTGATACGAGCTCGTCTACAAGGGGCTAGAAATGCTCTAGGTTCTCGTCTTCTATAATCTGTCCTTCTATAATCAATTTGGTAAATTTATATATATTATAATATTATTATTACTATAAAAAATTTGGTAAAAATATTTCTGCAAGTTTTAGCGATTTCAACGACAAATATTCGACCGCCAGAAAGACGCATCATACATAAGAGAAACAGTTTGTTCGAACAGCTGTTATTGCTCGCGTGCCTTTTCTCCTCTTTTATAATTAAATCGACTAACTCCGTGTATACGATGCGTCTCTCTGGCGGTAGAATATTTGTCGCTGAAATCGCTACAAAGTCACTTCTGACGAAGTGTATAACTTGACAGTTATCTTATTAAACGCTGTGTGATAAAACGTTTAAAATGACGGCAGCTCCGGAATGGATCTGGGTACGGGAACATTACAAAAAAGAAAGTCCGAATACAATAAAGTGTAATTATTGTGCAAAGAGTTCCATAACTGTATAAACGAAGAAAATCAATATTTAAAAGATCATTTATATGAAGAACATACAATTTAATAACAGAATTAGATGAACATCCAGAACGGTATCATGTACTGCAAAATTATAAAATAGCCAAACTGACAGCCACGTGCAACAATTGTGAAAAAAATATTAATCTGGCATCTAACAGCGTGCATGATTTAGTAACTCATTTAAAACTTCAGCACACAGACGAATACAATTTAACATCTTTAAATTTAGAAACCGTACTGAAAATGTACGACAAAATATCAAAGAATGAATTTCAGTGTAAAGGATGTAAAGTAATTTTAAAAATACATCCTACATTTCTACACAATTTAACACGACACTTATTACTTTGTCCGTAAGTACATATCCCAAAAATATTTTATATATTAATGAGTAGAAAATAGGTAATAATGAAATTACATTTGAGGCCGGAATGTGTGAATATAGAAAGGTGTAGACATAATATTCAGTTATAATGATAAAATTTACTTATTGACAAAATAATTTTGTTTCTATTCTGTCATAGTCACTTCCAACTTAATCACCCGAAAAAGTATAAGGAAAAAGATAAAAAGGTAAGAAAATCATCGAGCATACATGACACGTTCGATGAAATGAGCAACAAATTGAAAGAGAAATGTAAAACATGTAACAAAATAGTACCATTACACACATCAATTGAGTACACAAATTTAATAAGACACCGTTATTGTTGTCTGTAAGTATGGATATAAGATACATTTCTATTAATTTCTATTAATTTTGTCATATTTATTCTTTTATAACCCACTTGCTTAATCCTTCAAGTAAATCAGACAAGACGAGAAAATTAACGGAAAAACAGATATTGGATATGAACGATGACACACACAACAAAATGGCAAAACGGTGCAGAGGATGTGAGAAAATTACGAACGGTAATTTATACCACCATATAAACAATTGCCAGTAAGTATCCGAATGAGAAGTATTTAAAATATTAATGAATATAAAATTGGTATAACGATAAGAAGTAACATTTAAAGAAAACGTAACTACAAGATTTATAAAATACATATGAATAAGGGGGCTTCGTTTGCCTACATCAAACCCATTATCAGCTATTTGTATATGTTTGTGCATGTTTGTTTGACTTGTTAAGTTTGTTTTATTATTGAAATATGCTAAACTACGTGTAACTTTTTGTATTTTGCTTTAAAATTATAATAAAATATTTAATAATTTACTTGGATAGTATACCCCATCTTCCAAGTTCCAAGTTACAAGAAACTATTTCTACTAGGCGAAAATATTCTACTAATGCAAATATTAAATTTTCTGATAATATTAATTATAAACTTGAGAAATGCAATTGTTAATTGAATATTCCTGTGACATACTCAATAATATGTAACATTTGAAATACTAATTATTCCATCGCATTTTTGTTTGTTAATCCGCTCACAAATGCAAATCAAAATGATAGTGTCAACATTTAATGTTATGTTAGCAAAAAATATGAGGTAAAAGACGGAAAGAAAACAAGAACATGGAGCATTCATGACAAGTTCGATGCTCGATCGAAACGAGCAATTAATTGGAAAAAAATGTAAAATATGTGAAAAATAATCAACATACAGACATCAGTTAACTATAAAAATTTAATACTTCACCTTTCTCGTTGTAGGTAAGTATGGATATAAGATACATTTCTATTAATTTCTATTAATTTTGTCGTATTTATTCTTTTATAACCCACTTTCTTAATCATTCAAGTAAATCAGAGAAAACGGGAGAATTGCGGGGAAAACAGATATTGGACAAGTACGATGGCACACGCGACAAAATGGCAAAACGGTGCAAAGGATGTGAGAAAATACTAACGGTGAACACTAATACTAGATACGATAATTTATACAGACACATACACAATTGCATGTAAGTATCCGAATGAGAAGCATTTAAAATATTAATGAACATAAAATAGGTAAAACGATAAGAAATAACGTTTAAAGAAAATGTAATTACAAGATATATAAAATACATATGAATAAGGGGGCTTCGTTTGCCTACATTCCCGATAGCCAACACCATTTAGCACACGTGAATAATAATTATATGCAAGTATGACTAAAAGAGCATAATTGTCCGTCTACATGTTAAAGAGGGTTGCTCATGGAAAAGTAGAACAGAATAGAAAAATTTTCTACTTTTGATTGAGATTTCGCATTAATAAAGTAAAGATAATCCGTGAATAAGTATGAGTCTGCCAGAGTTGGAGGAATTAGACAACTCTGTATCACGCATCTATTGCAACTGCTAATCGCATACTGATAATACTGCAGGTTATTTATATATTAAAACTGAAAGTTTTGGCCTGTGTGAAAATACAGCGATATGGTTATAAACATACATATAGCGTCTGAAATATTATAATTATTCCGTTTTATTTTTTTAATTCGTTATTAATTTCTTATTTAAATGCAGGTCTAATTCAAGTACCGATTCCGATGATGCTTTTATTGGGTTATAAAGCAATCAGAGGTAAAAACGAAAACACCACAATTCAGTAATCAAGAACAGCGTTCGTTGTCAATACGTAACCCACACAGCAAAACATGTCACCAAGATATTTGGGAGATATCTAAATATTAGAATATCTGATACAAGAAGCTATTCAGATGTCGCTTGAATATCTAAGAAATGTCTTCCAGATCGTAAAGAGTCACGATAATTTCATCTGAGATATGATATTTGATTTTATATCAAATATTAGACATCCATATTTTAGTGAAGTCGGATTTGACGTATTACTGAATAGGCAATGTAATAGATAAAACATATTTTTTCTTCATAAGCTCCGGCATAAATTATTAAGGAACACGGCCTCCCTAAATTAGACTTTACTTTTTTATTCTATTATTGTCATACTCATAATCTTTTTTTCATTTATTATCGTACTATTTTGTTTTTGACTAGATAAGTTTAGAAAACTTTTTTTAGGAAAAATTAAATAAGAAATAACTATTTAAAAACAAAATAAATAATAAAAATGTAAACAATTTTTTTAAAAAATATCAGAAAAATATATTAGAGATGTGATATCCTTAAAACATTTAAGCTATACCATCTACAAGATATCTCCAAAATGACGGGTGAAATGATCTTTAATTTATGTCTCACATATATTTTGTTGTGTGGGAGTGAATTATTACATTTTAAATATTAATTAATTCCTCAATTGCATTTTCTATAACTCTCTTAATCACTCTTTATGTAAACGTAGACATTCATTGAGTAATACCAGATTAACTGGAAACGAAAATGTTGGTGAAGCTCAATGTGAAATGATAACATGTACTTATAATATTACGATTCTACAGTGCATTACTTTTAGCCTAAACGCAAAATACACGAAACGACTAATAATGTTGCCGATTCTGAACGACTCTAAAAGTGATTCACAGATCACAATTTTTGGATTGACGACTCTGCTCTGTATGAACAAAGAAACACACGCGTACACATACATACGCGTGTGATTAATTTATATTTGTTACATCAGAACTTTCAGACGAACTTCATTAGCGCTTAGCAAATTTTCAAATATTGAACGTAATATTAGTTATATGTAGTACATGGAAAAAAATAATGTTCAATTTACAAAAATGAAGTTGCTTGAATTAAACGTCAGTGTCACGCGCGGCAACAAACATAAATAATTCACTCAATTATATTTGCTATAGATTTTAATTTTAAGCATTAAATTAAAGATCCAGATTATTAAGACGATTGTCTATTCTTGAATCATTCGCAACAGAAACTTGCAGGTCAATTGGATATAAACCATATGTGCATAGCCAATAACCTTGCAACTTTTTGTAAAAAGAGTAGAATTTTTCTAAACATTTCTTTTGTGATACAAGAATCGAACTTTGTAATGTGGTATTCAATGTATAACATATAAAAGGAACATTTATGGAACATTATTTATGGCATCTTAAGTTTAATAAACCTAACATGATCTTAAATATAAAATCTGATTACGAATACCGGCTAACTCTTTCGGAAGTTGACTATGTGTATCACAGAGGCGAAAATGAAAGGACAGTGGTGGCCTCCATGAAATTGTATAATAATTCGATAAAACTTGTACAATTTGTAAACTAATTTAATAACATAAATTTCGTTTTGTGGTCAACATACTTTTGAATTGCACAATGTCTTGTAATTATATTTGTAGATCGTTGAACTCCTTTCGCCAACAAAGTTTGTAGTAGATAGTTTTCGATAAACTTGGTTATCTATATATTTTATTATAAGTTTGTATTTTCTAGTTATAAATAAAATGATGCCTTTCTTTTAGATTTGAATTAAATTTTTATCCGATAAAAACAGACCAATTGGTCTTTTATCTCCACCATCCCCGCCGAATTTTTATCGGCGATCCTCTTTTTTTTCAATAATTGGGGTTTTACATTTTTATCATTTATTATTTTGAAACATGTATAATGATATGCATACAATAATACATAACTCTTGCGATGTAAAATATTAACAAAAAATCAAATTGTAAATGTAAATCTATTGACAAATTACAAATTAAAATCTACCGAATAAAAGACTCTGTGAATCCAATTGAACTAAAACTTTATTTGATAAAAACTCGATTTATAGAGGCTCTCCACTACCCCCGCCGATGTGGATCGGCGGTCCTCTTTTCTTTACAATGTGACTTTTTGCAATTTTATTATCTATTTCATTTTTCTTATATAATAATTTACTTTACAATGCATACAATATTTAAAAAAATTACATTATAAAATTAAAAGTATAATATTTGTACAAGACAATGTTTCTCTCGACATTACATGTGAAATATTCGGTATGTATATAATAACATGAAATTTTTGCAATGCAAAATACATATATACATATTACATGTTCATGGAATAAAAAATATCCTGAATGTATAATATTTATTAACGATCTCTTAAAGTAAATCAAATCCACAAAAATTTAAAGTAAATGTAAAGTAAAAACTTAAACGCATAACAGCTTCCATCTTATTATATGCATCCATCTTATTATATGCATCCGATTGCAAATATAATTATATGTAATAATATACATTGCAGTTATAATTTTATCTATCTTTTTAATTATCGAGTTATGTCCCCCTGTTCCTGCCTACTCGAATCTCTATCTGCCCGTATTCCGATGTATAGTTTTATCCATTTTCCTACCTATCCGCGTTTCAACTTTTTCTCAATAAACCTACAAATCTTTCGTTAGTACCGCGACGCGATTTATAAAAGATCCGATTTGGGGCTATACGCGCGCGAATGGGATTTAATAGGAGTCTTGTTAAGCTCGCACATATGCGAGATATAAAGAAGATAAGAATATAACCCACCCGAATTTTGATAAATAAGAACAAATCAACTTATTTCGCACATCACCTTACTCATATACTCCATCGGAGTGGCCAATATTGACCACTTACCCCGTCGTATCCAGTCTTCTTTCGTTGGGCCAGATTGGACATACCTTTCGTTGCTTCTGGCCATACAGTCTGATCATTTTGACCAGAGATCGGAAACAAAGAAAACTCCTCCCATAATCGGTTTATCACCGACAGATATTTCGGTTCGAACTGTATGCGAGCACTGATCGTATCGAAAAATGCCCGACCAGGAGAGAAGGTATTTAAAGAAGAAACGTAATTTTTAAAAATTTAATTTTTAACACTGATCAAAGTGTAATTTTACTTCCGTTTTCAAAAGAACCGACCGTCTCTTCGTTAACTCGATCTTTGAATATAAAATTCAAGCACACAAATATAGAAAAAATTTTACCTTGTGTTACATTTATTTTAATTAAATAAATTAGTATGGCTCGTATGTGTTAAACACAAATTTCAAAAAATTTAAAGGACTCTGAGCCGTGACAGGATGGTAGTGTCTAAATATTCTAGTCTAAATTTATTGCGAAAAAATATCACCTCGGCCAGGGTTTGAACCTGGAACCTCCCTCTCGCTAGGCGGGCGTCTCAACCAATTCGACCACCGAGGCACATGGCAATACTTATCGCAATAAACATTCTAATGTTGATTCCCGAGTGCCACCTATCGTGACAGTATTCGAAATCGAGAACTGTGCGCCGACTTGATTTGTCAGTCTTAAAACACAGTATCATCTCCACAATG